GAAATGCTCTGAAATTATATTGTGGTGATGGTTATATAACTATAAATATATTAAAATTATTGAATTGTATGTACACTTAAAATGGGTGAATTTTATGCTATTTAAATTATTTCTCATTAAGGCTATTATTTAAAATATAATAAAGATGTTAAAATATTATAGGTATATTAAAATATTCGTGTACTACTTATTATACCAAAGAGCATACTGAAAAATCAGCAACACTGAAATTTTTTTCACTTGGAATAAATTTGAAAGTTGGTCAAATAAAATTTTGGAGAGATATTAATGCTGAAGTAATTTATCTAAATTCTGTCTTCCCATATTTGTGACCACTGACAAAAGTAAAGGACACTTTATTCTATGAGGTGGAAGAAAATCATTTAAGTGGACTGATTTGTGGGTCACAATGACCTCTGAGAGGAATATTGTCAATTGAGATAAATTGTGCAGTTTGGAGGTTATATTAGTGTGAGCTAAACATAAAATTACAAAACTTATGTAAATAAATCTTCAAAAGGGAACCAAGAATTTGGTCTTTAAAATTTTATTTTATATGTTTATTTTCCTATGAAAAAAGATTAAATTTTGGCATTAAGAATTAGACTGCTATTGACAGCTTATTATTTACTCTTAAAGCAGTATCAAACTATATGCATCACAGTTATCACTTGTATTTAAATTTTTGAGTGTCTAATTTTAAAGAATTAATAAAGGGAAAATGTGGGGAAAACAAAGTTAAAAGTTTTTTAATGTAGAAAAGTAATGATCATAAAGATTATATACCTGAATCAAAGTTGAAATTGTTCAATGTTGATTTAAAAGAAAAATGTAAACATACAAACATTTATTTAGCTTTAGAAACGAGCCGGCTGCATCAGAATTAGAATCAGAATTATAGTGTATTATAGCCTAAAGGGGTCTCTGAGGACTATAAATACAGTGTATTATAGTCCAACATATCCGTTGCCTAGGTGTGAACACATTACTCATCAGGGCTAAGTGACATGTCAGAGTCATCTGGCTAGTGTATGTAGGGTCATCATCTTCTAATTCTTGGCCTAGAATGCTTTCAATTAATACCACATTATTGGGGGCAGAGGCTGGAAGATACAACAGAGAGATAGTTATATAGCTTAAAATAGAGAAAGATCATTTTGTTCTAAAAGTGAATTCTAAAAGTAACAGGTATGGGAATACAAAATATAAATATAAATATAAAATACAATATAAAATATTACAACAACTTAAAAATGTATTTATAAGAAAATACAATGATGATATAGTATTCAGCATGAGTTTAAACTTTCAGGATATAAAGAAATATATTTCTCCAAACTCATTTTACTAGGCTACCATTACCCTGATTACCAATCAGATAAGGAAACTACAAGGAAAGAAAATAATGGGCCAATATCTCTGATGAACACAGATACAAAAGTCCTGAATAAAATACTAGCAAACCTAGAGATTTGTTTCAGGATACAAAGATGATTCAACATCCATAAATCAATCAATGTGCTCTATCACATAAAAAAAATGAACAATAAAAATCATATGATCATCTCAATATTTATGCAGAAAAAGCACTTGACACAATGCAACATCCATTTATGATAAAAAGTCTCATCAAAGTGGTTATAGAGAGAATGTACCTCAACATAATAAGGGATATATATGACAAGCCAACAGCTAACATCATACTCAATGGTAAAAAGCTGAAAGCTCTCCCTCTAAGATCAGGAACAACACAAGAATACTTACTCTTACCACTTTTATTCAACATGTAATTGAAAATCCTAGTCAGAGTAATTATGCAAGAAAAAGAAATAAAATATCCAAATTGGAAAGGAAGAAGTAAAACTATTACTATATGCAGATGATATAATATTATATATAGAAAATCCTAAATACTCAACCAAAAAACTATTAGACCAATCTCACTTATGAATGTACGTACTAAACTTATAAATAAAACATAACCAAGTAGAAAATATATATAAAAAAGTTAATGGTGGCCCAGCCGCTGTGGCTCAGCAGTTGAGCATCTACCTATGATCCAGGCAATTGGGGTTCGATTCCCGGTCAGGGCACATGCCCGGGTTGCGGGCTCTATTCCCATTGGGAGCGTGCAGGAGGCAGCCAATCAATGACTCTCTCATCATTGATGTTTCTATCTCTCTCTCTCTCCTCCTTCCTCTCTCTGAAATTAATAAAAATATATTTAAATATATACATATTTAAAAGTTAATGGTGTAGGGTTTATCCCAGGAAAGCGAAGGTGCTTCAATATCAGGAAATTTAGTAATACTAATCCATTTTACCAGTTGGTTAAAGGGAAAAAAACATACTACATACTACTATATCAATAGATGCTGAAAAGGCATTGAACAAAATCCAAAAGCATTTCCAGTTAAAACATTCAAGTAAAATTGAAATTGAAGAAACAATTTAATTTAAAAAAGGATATTTACTAAAAAACAAACATCAAATACAATTCCAAGTGGCAATACATCAAATTATTTCAATTAAAATTAGTAGACATGGAGGTTCACTGTCACAATTATTATTTAACACAGTCTCAGAGATTCAAATGAACTTAATTAATATATGAACAAGACTAGAAAAACATATAAACATTGGAAAAGAATAAACTCTTTTTGGAGGGTATGGGACCTGGTGATATAATTGTATAACTAGAAAATCCTAGAGACACTAATAAAAAACTACTAGAATTAATATGAGATTTTTGTAAAGTTGATGGGTATAGGATAAATGCACAAAAAATCAATAGCCTTTCTCTGTCTTATTAACAAATACCAAGAAAATGAAAGAAAATAGTTCATTCATAGTAGCTGCAAAATGACAGTCATAAATTTAACTTTATGAGTGGCAAACATATTTAAACTGTAAAAATGCATTAAAGAACATAAAGCGCAACATTTAAAGAAATGAAAACGCATACATTATTCTTCAATGAGAAGACTTTCAGAGTATTAAGAAGACTCAATATCACAAAAAATGTCAATTCCCCAAAAGTTAGTATATAAATATAATGCAATTCCTACTAGAATCCCTATTGAAGACAAAATTATCTTAAAGTTTATGTGGAAAAATAACTGCCTATAAATATAAGAGCAGTATAAAGACTACAGGAGAAAAGCTTTACTAGGTATATATCAGAGCTGTTGGATTGGAGGTAAATTAATGATCATAAAGTTCAAATAGAAGAATACCTCCAAATATATATTTAAAAAGTAAGAAAACTGGAGAGAGAAAAGACTTACCCAGCTATAAGAATATGCCATTAAGTCATTATATTCAAATGAATACGATATTAATTCCATCAAGTAAATCAGTGGAACAGAAGAGAGAACACAATAATAGATACTAGCTAGTATCTACTATTATATGAAATTTTAACATATGACAGGTAGCAGTTTTATTTAGTGGGAAAAGGATAATTATTTAATAAATAATACTGATACAACTGACTACCCACATGAATAGAGTAAAACTGAACCCCCGTATCTCACACCATATAAAAAATAAATCCCATACGTATTAATGACTTAAATGGAAAAAAAATCCAGAAGACTATATATACAATCTAGGAATGAGAGGAACTGTTTTAACTAAGACTAACCAGAAACAATATAAGACAGTAATTTGATCATACCAAAATGAAAAACTTTGATATGGTGAAATTTACCATAAAAACCAGTGACAAATTATTCATTAGAAAAAAGTTAATATAGAAGAGAAATTATTACTATACTGTAGAAACTGCTCTTTAAAAATTACCAAGGAAATTTCCAATAATTGGCAAAAATTGAAAATAGGCAAAAATATATGAAAAGCTAATTCAAAGAAGAGAAAATTAAAATACATGACTTTTAAATTTATAACTGGTATCATATTGCTTCCAGACTCATGTGATGAGTCCTTCTTTTCTAATACCAGTTTCTTTCTAGATTTCCCTAGTCTGTGGTATGCTCTTATTAAAGACTCCCAAGCAAAGAGGTTCAGAGCTCTCTGTGACTCCCTTCCCTCCCTTGCACTCAGCCAGGTGTTCACCTCCCTGGTCCTGGGTAGTCTTCTCAACACTGATTCTATCTTAGCCTTTCCACTGCAGCCATGGAGAGGGCCAAGGAGATGAGCATGAGCTTTGGTTTGCTTTCACCCCCTGCCATTTACCAGCTAGGTGGGGGGAGGTTACCTTTCTGGGCTTTGATTCTCTCTTCTGTAAGATGGGATACTGATACCTGCTTTCCATGGTCACTCTGAGAATTGACAGTTACCTTCTATACAGTGCTAGCATGGTGTCTAGCATATATATCAGGGCCTTAAAAATGCTAGTCTCCTTCCCTACTTTAGTTTCTTATGGTTAATCTAGGGGCTGGGTTAGCAGTAAAGATATTTTCTAAATTACTTGATGTTTGGAACATCTCTATTCATTGCTAACAGGTTAATTTTGCTAAAACACTGCTTTTATTCTATCATTCTCATGATTATCAATTTTCAGTGATTCCACACTGCCTTCAGGGAAAAATGCATACTCCTTGGCCTTTCTACTAGGTGCCCAAAACACAATTTTAATCTTGCCCAAAACACAAGTTTAATCTTTTCATTTGGGAAAATGAGAGAGTGCCCTAAAAACTTGGATTCACTTTATAAACAGCATATGCTGCATTTCCCTTCAGTGCGTTAAACCACCAACCCACTGGGGTAACGATCCACTAAAGTAAATGCACTTCGTTTTCCTGAAATCTTAAAACATCTTTGATATCTCCACTTGCCTTTCCACTCTAAATGGCAGACTAGAAGAGATGACAGTGAACATTGATCACAGACAGTCACTGAAACAGTTACTAATAATTAGGCATATCTGCAACACAAGATAATAAAAAAAAAGATTTTTGTTGTGATTTTAAGAAAAATGAAAATTTAGACATTTATTATGGATAGTTGCTAACAACTGCAAAAAAAAAATCTTTTACCTAGTGCTTCTTTTTGCAAGTCATGGCATCTGGTTTGCAAGTTCACTTCCTGTTGTTTAGATGTTTGCATCTGCTGAGACCTCAGTACCGCTGCATCTGACAACAACTTCAGGTTTTTCATTTCCTCTTCAAGGCATACCTTATTTCTCTGGGACACTGCCAAACTTTTATTTAGTATCTCGATTTCTGTAAAGAAAGTCAAAGTTTACAAATACAACACTGAATCATAGTACAGTTTTCAAAACAGTGATTTTCTTTTAGAAAATTAAAATTAATACTTAAAAGCCAAGATCACTTTTCTGAGAGTATAGTGACACAAAACCAAAAGCTTAAATTTAAATTTAGTGGTTATTCTGAAAAAGAAATGAGAAAAATAATTGTATTGCCAAACTATGCATAATACAGTTTTAGGGTTTTAGTGGGGTTTTTTTTTTTAGCCTTTAAATTGTACTAAATGGCATTTTGGCCTGCTTTTTAAATACTCACATAAATGAATAACATATCTGTGTAATGTTCTGGGTTATACTGAAATTAAATTGTTTTCTTGGAACATGATTCAGAAAAGTAAATTTAAATGTGCTAGCATGAGCTGGCTGGCTGGCATTTCTAGGAGGGTAACTAGGATACATCTACACGAATTATGAAAAAAGGTAGTAGGGGTGGAGAGAACTAAAAGGATGAAGCGTCCGAAACTAATGAATTTACAGACATAAAGTGTTAGTTAATATATCTTAATGACTTGAACAATACTCTGTCCCCTCAAAATGAGACCAGAATTTCATCATAGCAATAAGTTATCATTACTCTATCTACTTAGATTAATAAAAATATGCCTCACAGCATGGTGCAGATTTCAATGTACTAATTTTATATAATTTCATGAGAAATGGATGGAGCATGTTATCCTGCAGAATGATAATTATAAGCTCTCCCTTCATCAGCCTTTTCAGCACTGTTGCCTCAAACCACAGTACTAAAATATACAAATGCACACAATAATGACAAAAAACTACAAAATTGTACAACCACAATTAATTGAAATGATGAATATGTGAAAATCTGGAGAGCCTGTTTTTGCAGAGGGTTCACTTGGCACTTTCCTTGTTTAGGTCATTCTGGACCACGTGATGGGTGTAGCCTGTGATTAGAGATGTCAAAGGAGGCTGGCCTGGTTTATTGGTTTTGGAGCCAATACAGAAAAAACAGCAGCCCCATGGGCCAGTGAAGACCAGAAGTGGAGATCACTAGGACAGGCATGGCAGAAGAGGCAAATGGCCAGTAAATGGTTACAGGAGAAGTAAAGCAGGGTGCTGGAACAGGGCGCAGAGACGAGGGCGTGTCTCTAAGGATGGGCATGAGTAGGATCAGGAATGTGGTCCAAGGAGAGAGAAGCAAATGTCTTTCCGTGGGGAAAAACACCTGTCCGGAAAAAAAGTGGCATGTAAGACAAATCTAGGTCATGAGCACAAAGGGTCTGGCATCTTCTTTACTTTTAATTTCTGCTCAAAATACAAAACCTGGAGAAATAAATCAGCAGGAACCAAAAATAAGAATATTGGGGTTTACCATATTCCAGTAATAACACAAATATTTTTCTTAAGAATAGTTATATGCTTGCTTCTAAAAACTTATGGATATACACCCACTTGTGTACATAAAGAACGTTGTAATTTCTCTTCAGACCTAAAAAGCCTTCCTGGTTATTTTTACAGCCATGAAGGTACCTTCTTGTGACTGAGTTAACTGCCCTGTACTCGAACCATATCTATGTTTGAGTCAGAATGACACTGCAGAGGAGCACATGCTGTCAACTGCTTACCATTTGGCAGAATGACACTGCTTAGGTAAGCAGGCTGACTCTCTTAGTGGACACTACTGTCTGTCTCCAAAATAACTGCTCGTGTCAACATGACTTTCTGCCTGACATTAAAAAAGTAAGAATCTGCAATACAGGTTCATTTGTCAAATGTATTCTAACACATGGAAAAGTACAGCAAGATTTCAAAACTAGCAGGAGCTTCAATGTTTCTAACATGGAATTAAGAGAGTAAACTCAAGGGAGGTGAATTAATTTACCCACAGCAAACTACATATCCGTATGGCAATCCTGGTGTCAAATACTCAATCCTACTTTCATCATGACGACAATTTCATGCTTGTCAGTCATATGCCCCAATTTGGGGTTCAGAAATTAAGATCTCTACCAGACCAACCTATTCCAGCCATTGTTCTCACCTTGGGCTTCCCGTTTCTGAACCATCCATGAAGAAGATCCTCCTAACTCAAACATCAGGCCTACCACAGCTCATATGCTACCTGCCTGGAATCTCTTCTGATCTGATCTGGAAGTGACCTTGATCTCTCAGCAATTTATGCCATTTCTATTATACGCATACATGTGATCTACTAGTGTACTACGAGTTATTTTAGGCCAGAGGTAATATCTTATTTATTTTTATTACCCCCATTTTTACCATAATATCCTACAATTAACAGGAGCTCAAGAAATATCTCCTGAAGGGGTAAAGGCAGCACTGAGCAAAGCTTCTAAATAGTTTCTAGTACTACCGCTAGCTGAAGATCCTGAATATGTGTTTGTCTCACCTCACCTTTCACTTTACAGGCAAGCATTTTGAGCCCCAGATCATTTAATGTCAGACTAGGAAAGGCAGTAAATACACACATACAAAACAAGGAAACACTTTTAATAGGATAAGCAAATAGGCCTATTTAACCCCTAATTGTATCAATTTGTAGAAAACGTAGACAACATTTCTAAGCCTAATTCAGGATCTGAATTTTAAATATTTTATTTATTGATTGACTGATTGATTTCAGAGAGAGGAAGGGAGAGAGATAGAAACATCAATGATGAGGGAAAGTCATTGATTGGCTGCCTACTGCCCGCCCCCTACTGGGTATTGAGCCTGAAGCCTGGCACACGCCTTAACCAGGAATAGAAATGTGACCCTGGGTCATGGGTCAACACTCAACCACTGAGCCACGCTGTCCAGGACAGGACTTGAATTTTAAAAGTTCAAGAGCTATTCAGCAAAAGCTATTTTGAGAGTGAAAACAAAATGATTCTACACTTGGTAAAATATTCTGCCTTGGTAAAATATTTTTTTCTGAAATTTCTTTTATTGAAATAGGTATGCTCTGGTTCAAGAAAACCTAATTTATGAACATTGAAACTTAAAAACATTGATTATATAAAGTGATATTCACTCATTAAAAGAGAAGGAAATGTTTCACTCATAGCTCGTATTCAATATTAAGCATACTTTGTCAGCAAGAAAATATTTTGCAATGCATTTTTCCAGGAATGTTGTTTCTGTTTTGGACTTTGATTTCAAAACCTAAATGCGTTTTAATGTGAAAATCTTTTGAAGTGTCTGAATAATGTATGTAATGTGTATGGGTTTACTATATTTATTAGTTTGCTAGGGCAACTGAAACAAAGTACCACAGACCGGTACTTAACTCTTGTGGTTTAACCAACAGAAATTTATTTATTTTCTCACAGTTCTGAAGGCTAGAAGTCTGAGACCACAGTGTCAGCAGGGTTGTTTTCTTCTGGGGGCCATAAGGGACAGATCTGTTCTAAGCCTCTTTACCTGGTGTAGAGATGGTCATCTCCCTGTCTTCTTCTTCATCTCCCCTCTGTATGTGTCTGTTTCTAAATTTCCTCTTCTTATAAGGACACTAGTCATATTGGATCAGAGCCCACCCATTTAAATGTAATAATTACTTTAAGAACCCTAACTCCAAATAGAGTTGTATTGTGAGAGAATAGAAGTTAGGACTTCAACACACGAATTTGGGAGGGGCATTCAGCCATTAATAGGATATTTTAGAATGCTTGCCTGCCAGTCACACCTGGGAACAGGTCATTTGCCAGAGCAGGCATGGCCACTGCCAGCACAGAAAGATTCGAGATATTTAATCCCCTCAACAAAGGGGTTCACTTTCTTGCACACTTGCCTTCTTGGCTCCTAGCACTCACTTGGCTCCCCTGCATTCGCCCATATCGCTCATGACCATGTGGACCCCACACAATGGACCAATGGACTGCAACTAGCCTCATGCTGTACTGGATCCAACTCCGCCACGGAAAGGAAACTTTGGACAATGGCTTTGCTTCTACCTCTACTGAACCCCCAACTGCACCTCTTCCAGAACTAGATTAAGGGAAATGGGACTTTAGCCCAAGGATATAATTCCATGCAAATAAAAATCACTCATCCTCCCATGAGAGTCTCAGAAAATTCTTTTTCTCGAGATATCATAAGGACCCGAACCCCAGTACTCAGTGGGGAAAGGGATACCCCACTTTCACCGATAACACCTCCAATTCTGGCAATCACTGATCCCTTTTCCATTTCCATAATTTTGCCTTTTCCAGAATGTTATTTAGTTGGAATCTTACAGTACAGACTTTCAGATTGGCTTCTTTCACTTAGCAATATACCTTCTCTCAATTTTTGATATTTTCTCCATATGTGCCTGGTTTTGGTCACTCTACCTGGTTTTAGGTAGTTATTTTGTCCCAAATTTATCATTGCTATCTCTGGGACAGCTGATCTAATATGAGCTACTCAGCTATTAACAGAAGAAAAAGTTTTAAAACGCAAATTGGTACATTTAACAGAAATAACCAGACTGCTGATCACAGCTCAAGAATAGATGTAACATAGCTTATCTTACATCAGTCTATATTTATTGAATTTCAGGGTTTCAATAGATCATAATGACCATCTAGTTTGCCAACCAATAACAGGTTTAAAAGTTAATCATAAGTCCCATCACATAAAATGAAATATCATTATTTCATTACTTACAATGTACTATTTACAAAGAAAAAAGACAATTACACTCTCTATATATGTAACACACCTGTCAAGGCTGCTTCACTTATGGATTTAATTTGAAGAAAAACTTCTCTTTTCAGTGAAGTCCAGTTTTGAAAATGATCATATACTTCATTTTTAATACTGGTTATCTCCCTTTTAGTAAAAGTAAGTAATGAAAGAGTCTTATTCCAGAAATATTTGTACTCCATCAATCTTTGACTGTAAGGTAATAAATAAATAAAAAAGGATTTTTAAAAATAGCAATAACAACAAACTTTCTTTGAAAAAATAGCCTTCTTTGAAAAAAATGGGTTTAGAGTAACCACATAATCTACTGTCTAAATGGAGACAATTTTGAAAGTGAAAGAGGTGCTATTTGTATTTTGCTGAGGTGATAGATATAAACTGGAAATATTCCAGAAAATCTAGGTATATGGTTATCCTAGCCCATTTCCATTGTGTTATCATTTTAATTATAAAGAAAGATAGCTATTTTAATACACAGTGATTCTATTAATCTTTTCAAATGAATGTAACAGCAAACATTTAGTGAAGAAAATCAGGTCAAAAATGGCTTAGTCACGGAGCCTCAATGAGAATCTCAGGTTCTTAGATAGTGTTCTTCCTGCATACCCTGGTTCTACAGGCAGTTTAAAACCTGGGGTAATAATAAACAAAACCTTTTAAAATGACTAATCCAGTGCTTTTGCTTCATGAAATACCACAGTTCAAAGTAATCACAGTGATTCTTTATTACTTCAGATGTCCTGGCTATAATTTACCTAATAATCAAGCAAGATGCAGATGCAGACCTGGGAGTTATCACCAAAAAGATGACGAGTGAAGCCATGGAGCTGTAATTATTTGGTTAACATTTATCTCCCTGAGTAGACTAAGATCTATGATACAGACACTATATATGTCTGTCTCGTTCATCACAATCTCCCTAGCACCTGGCACAGTACCTATCACATAGTATGTGCTCAGCAAACACTGACGAATGAATGAATGAATGGAAAAAAATAAATCACTCAGTTGGAGGAATGAAGAAGTGAAAAGTGTTGAGACTAAAACACAGGACAACACTAACATTTATGGGACTAAAAAAGAAAAGAATCCCTCAAGGAGACTAGGAAGGCACAACCAGCGGGCTAGAAGAAAAACCAAAATAATACTATCAGAAAAGCCAGGGGATAGAGAATTTAAAGAAGAAAGTAGTGGTCAGTGTTTGACGCTCCAGATAAAGTCTGAACAGGGCCCATTGCATCTGGTATTAAGGGGGCATTAGGTGTCTTAGAGAGAGGCAATAGGTAGGAAAGAACTAAACAGTAAAGCAGAACTGAGTATACAGGGAGCTATGCAGTAGCAACAATTGAGAACACGGACTGAAGTGGCAAGGGAAAGTGGCAGATACAGAGCAGAATGGTTTGTTAGGAAGGGAGACACCTGAACATGTATGCACAGCTGGACACAGTATGAGTGCAGTCACAGAGGCTAAACACAGACAAGAGATGTGCTCATTTCTTGTGCAAAGTCCTAGAAAGGAAGGGTGTAAAGCAGAGGCTGAAAAATTAGCCTTTGCCAGGAAGAAGAGGGGTGGTGTCATTCTGGGTGGTAATTAAGGCCCACCAGAGTGATTAGAAGCCACAGGGGATGGCTCAATCAGAAGGCAGAACTGGGAGCTAGGAGAGATGTTGATTTCAGAAAAGCAGAGAAAGAGTCCAAACAGATCCCTAACTGAAGGAGGCCAAAAATGAGGAAGGGAAGTCTGAATGTGGAGCCAGAAACTGCCAGGAGGCAGATAAGACCTATGAACCAAGTCAAGGCTGAGGGCTAATGGGCCCTGTGAAAGGCAGCCGCTGGAAGTGAGCCACGTACAGGGCCTAGAGTGGTGCTCAACAGAACAGACTGGGTGGGGATGCAGGCGCTTCTGCAGGGAGAAAGGCAGGAAACAGAAAACTCAAACTTACTAGTTAGAAGCAAATCCATTTTTGTGAGGCCTAAATCTTACGTGATTGGTGGTGGCTGGGGAGAGGGCTTTCTTAAAAAAAGAATACAAAAATGATGACTTACAAGATTAGGTTTAAAAGTGTGCAATTATTTATAGAATGAGAAAAAACATTAAATTTAAATATAAGAATTCTAAAGTTGATAAATTCCATCAGCATGACAAAATACAGGAAAACAATATAACTTTTTAGTGAGTAACAGTTTTAGCCCGGCCGGGCGTGGCTCAGCGGTTGAGCGTCCACCTAAGATCCAGGCGATTGGGGTTCGATTCCCGGTCAGGGCACATGCCCGGGTTGCGGGCTTGATCTCTCATCATTGATGTTTCTCTCTCTCTCCCCTTTCCTCTCTCTGAAATCAATAAAGATATATTTTAAAAAAAACAAAAAACAGTTCTATAATACTTTTGCCTATAATTTTTAGCTACATGCTCTATAAGCATATGAGAAACACTTTATAATAATATTTTATATGGAGAAAATATAAAGATTATACAGCCTTCCATCTAACATGGCTATTAGTATTTTTATTATTGATAGTTTAGAAAAATTATTTCAGCTTCATAACTCACTACTGATAATGTAATGTTAATACTAAGTGGTGTTAAATTTGGAAAAATCCTTATCAAATTTTTTTCATATATGATTATAAGATTTTTGGCATTTCAAGTTTTTTTGGAAAATGACTAGTTTTAAATTATCTTTGAAATAATGAAACTCATGAACTAGTTTATTTTAGATGTCCTTGAAGTGGTATAATATGACTTTTATATTATATTCAGTGATGTTGGCAGTTTTTGTCAAATCAGCAAGAAACTTAAATATTTTTCCAAAGTATTTAAATAATTAACTCCTCTTCATTGAATGGATTATGAAATAATCTAAGTGCTTTTATTGAAAATATGTCTCTCTTAATTTTCTTGTGATGTAATATGAAAAAAATCATTACAATTTGCTTATGCCAGAATAATTTCTATTGCTTAAACTGCTCATATTTATTGCAATTTAAGCAATAGAAATTGCTTTTATTCCATTAATTTTAAAAAATGCATGTACATCCAAATTTCAAGTCTGTAATTCCTTAATTGTGCTATTGAAGCATTCTAAAATGTCTTTCTAAATGGCAGTCATAATGGTGTATTCCCAAGTTATCTTTCCCCTACTCAGATCCCCCAAGTGCTTATGACTACTCCAATGGCATATTGACATCAGAAGTGTAAGAAAGCCCGGCTGGGTATGGCTCAGCAGTTGAGCACTGACCTAGGATCCAGGCGATCATGGTTCGATTCCTGGTCAGGGCACATGCTCGGGTTGCGGGCTCAATCCCCAGCAAGGGGCGTGCAGGAGGCAGCCGACCAATGACTCTCTCATCACTGATGTTCCTCTCTCTCTCTCCCTCTCCTTTCCTCTCTCTGAAATCAATAAAGATATATTTTTTAAAAAAAAAGAAGTGTAAGAGAGGAGAACTCAGAGTAGAAAAAGACAGAATTTTAAACCAATTACTGTAAAAACTTGGAAGGGGGTCCTGAGTGAGGGGTTCTGAATCTTAAACATCATTTTATTTGCAGTAAATCTGCCTGTGTTGATATCCTTAATTTTCTCCGTGAAATATGAGGCAAGACACATAGCTTCTGAGAGATGAGTAGCACAGGGAAGTCTAAACAAAACAGTGAGAATTTAGAATAGTATTGGAGGAACTGAGGGCCTGGTGTTTAACAACCTGTGCATAGGTATGAAGACTGAGGGGTTTTAAGGGTAATTACAACTATATGAGCAGAAGTAAAAGGAGTCAGTAAACTCTTCTAGGCAGAAACATCCTCTAAGTAGAAACACCCTCTAAGTAGAAGCAACCTCTATACAGAAACATCCTATACACACACACACACACACACACACACATACACACACACACAAATACCAGAACTAATAAGTGGGTTCATCAAGGTCACATGCATACATGGTCCATATGCAAAAATCAATTTTATGTCTGCATAACAGCAATGGCCAATCCCCAAAATAAAGAAATAAAAATCCCTCTCATAATCACATCAAAGAGAATAAAATACTTAGAAATAAATTTAGTAAAAGGAGTGCTGCCTTATATACTAAACACAAAACATTTCTCAGAGAAGTAAAGATATTGATAGAAAGACATACTGCGTTTATGAGTTGAAAGATTCAATATTTTTCAGACGGCAATTCTCCCCAAATTGATCATCAGAGTCAATGCTATACCTATCAAAAACCTGGCATGCTATTTTGCAGGAATTAACAAGCTTATCCCGAATAGCCAAAACTATCTTGAAAACAAAGAAATTTTGAGGACTTATATTTCTTGATTTCAAAATTTACTAAAAACTACAGTATTCAAGAGAATAGACATACAGATCAATGAAATAAAAAAGAGTCCAGAAATAATTCCCTATATTCATGGTGCATTTATTTTAGATAAAGGCACCAAGACAAGTCAACAAGGAAAGAAGTCTTTTTAACAAATGATGCTGGAACAACTGAACATCCTCATGAAAAAAAGATGAATTTAGATCCTTACCACACATCATTCATAAAGTTAACTCAAAATGAATCATAGACCAAAATGTAAAAGCTAAAACTATAAAACTTTCAGAAGAAACTACAGGAGAAAATCTTTGTGACCTGTGATTAGTCAGAGTTCTTAGACACATTATCAAAAGCATAATCCATTACAGAAAACATTGATAAATTTTATTTTATTAAAAATAACAATTTTTGCTCATCAAAAGAGACTGCTACAAAAATGAAAACATAGCCATTGACTGGGAGAAAATATTTGCAAATCATACTTCAAATAAAGGACTCCACCCAAGGCAAATTAAGAACTCTTACAATCCTATAATAAGAAAACAGACCAATGAAAAACTAGGCAAAATATTTTAATGGATATTTCACTAAATAACCATGCAGATGGTTAATAAGCACATGAAAAGGTGCTCACCATCGTTGGTCATTTGGGAAACACAAACCAAAGCCACAATGAAATACCATGTCACACCCCTAGAATGGCTACAATAAAAAAAGACAGACAATAAGAAGCGTTGGCAAGAATTCAGAGAAACTATAATCCTCATTCCTTGTGGGAATATAAAATGATGCAGCCACATGGAAAATAGTTTGGCAGTTTCTTAGTAAGTTCAATTTAAATTTACCGTATGATTCAGTAATGCCACACTTAGGGATTTACCCAAAAGAAATAAAACATACATCCCTACAAAGACTTGTAGGTGGATGTTTAGAGTAGCATTATTCCTAAGTGTCAAGTGGAAACAATCCAAAAGCCCATCAACTGGGAAATGGATGAGTAAAATGTGGTCTATCCACACAATGGAAACTATTAAGTAATAAAAAAGAAACAAAGTGCTGATGCATGGCACAACATGAATGAGCCTCAAAAACAATGACAGAAGCCTGATGGAAAAGACTACATATGTATGATTCTGCATACCTGACATGTCCAGAAAAATGAAAATTTATAGAAACAGGAAGAAGGCTGCCTAGGACTGATGCTAAGAGTAGAGATTAAATGCAAATGATATGAAGATCTTTGTGGAATGTCACAAATGGAATGCAGTAAAGGGGGCACAACTCAGTGAGTTTACTAAAAATCATTGCATTTCCACTTAAAATGGGTGGATTTTATAGTATGTAATTATGTCTCAATAAAGCTGTTTTTAAAAAAGTCACAGTTAAGTCATTATGGCATCAAGGCTAGAAAACAAAGTAAAACCAAAAAATGGTTGGGAAGAATCAGAGAAAATACTGGAAACCTTAATGATGCTGAAGAGTTGAAGAGAAATTAAGAAAGCTAGGAGGAGAAATTTTTGGGAGTTGGCATGGGAAGTTTCAGAGATGACAGAGTCTAGATAGATTTACAAATAAGAAAAACTAAAGGACAAGTACTTTATATTTCAAACAATTTATGAAAGATTCACAATAGGAATCTTCTAAAAATAAATATAGATAACTTAGCAGACTTGGGCCAAGGCTACTGTAGGAGCCAAGCTTGACTACTGATCACCCTGACTAAAATGAAGAGCTCGGTTCACCTGCTGGCTCAACAGCAGATTTCTAGGAAATGGCAGAGATTTCTCAGGACAGAAATGGTCATCTGTTTTGTGAGTAGAATCATTCATTCATTCAAAGACTACTTATTGAGCATCATGTATGTGCAAGACATTTATGAAAGGTAAATGGTGTATAAAAAATTATTAGCCCAGCCCTGGTCAGTGTGGCTCAGTGGGTTGGAGTGTCATCCCGTACACCAAAAGGTGGCAGTGAATTCCCAGTCAGGGTGCAGGAGGCAACAGATCAATGCCTGCCTGCCTGCCTGCCTGTCTGTCTCTGTCTCCCCCTTACTCTCTCTAAAATCAATTAAAAATATTAGCCCAGAACAATGTTTCTGGCAGTAAGCAGTAGACTGAAAAAAAGAAAAAGGACCTAACATTTAAACTATTAATCCAGCATATTTTTTAGTCTGAACTATGTCTATTTGTAATGCTCATTTAACTTATTTCCCTTTTCTAAGAGCTAGAAGTTACTCAATTTAAAAATTCATTCTTTCTAATATTCTCTGTATATTCAACTCCCTTTTTAGAGTTAGAAAAGAAAATGTACTTTCTAGTTTCTTTAGAACATGGGGTTTTACCTTTAGTTATTATAAACCCTCCAAAGATGATATAAAAACAGAATTCACACCTTTTATATTGACGATTTCTAAATTTAGCAGTTTTATTACTATATTTAGAAAGTTTCCCCATTCTATTATTTTTTGTGTGTGTGCCAGGGGATCAAATACACCAAGAAATACTGGTCAAGAGGAAAATGCATTAGTTACTGTATTTTCAATCTAAATGTCACTGCAAAATAAGAACAACATGTTTGCCTGATTTTAATTTTATTGGTAAAACTATTGTGATAATGGTTAAAAAAAAAAAGTGAAGTTATTTCCATTTTTTTCAATCACAGTGAATATAGAAACTATACTACTACATTGGGTTTGGATGTTTATAAAGTTAGTATTAAATGTATCTTTTCAATCTTTATAATTTTCAATTAATTAAAGATAATCTTACCTGAAGACTTGTGATTGTCTCTGTTTCACTTTTAACTCATGTTGCAATTGACTCAATTCTTTCTGTAATCTCTGAATTTCACTTTGCTGACTTTTTAATTGCATGCTTCCAGCTTGGATTCTAAAAATATAAACAAACGACGTCCATTACAAGCCTAAGTATTCCCTCATGAGTACTTTCTTAAATGAATATTTAAATATACTTTTAATAAAAATAAATAAAACTATGCATCTCTATGACTGAATAAATAAATGGGAGAGAAGGAACTGCTCTTTCTTGCAGAGAAATTTCAATTAATAAATGAGAAGAAATGAGGGGGAAAAGAGAACCATCATTAAAAGAGCACAGTAAAAACTACTGCAGGCAAAATCTACTGACAGTTGCTTAAAAAGTGGGGGAAAGTCTGAGGAGAAACAGAATATTTGAATATTCTCAAAGTATCTACCCCCAAGTTATTTATTAATTGAAAAGGGAAAAACAAATAACTCCAGTGGAAGAAACTGGCAAACACCACCGTAGACAAGTGATCAAGGTTAATAACACCTGTAAAGAGACATACTGGCGTCACCATCACATACACCCCGATGGGGTACACGGACGAGGGCACGTCACATCTCAGGTATTCTTGCCAGAATGAACCATCTCAACATAAGTATGAGTAAACACTGGGCAAACCCAAATTGAGGGGTATTCCACAATCTACCTGACCATTATTTTCAAAAGCCTTAGGTCATGAAAGACAAAGAAAGAGTGAGGAACTGTCACAGATCAAAGATGACTAAGAAGATACGAGTTCTAAACACAAGGTACAATTCCAGGTGGAATGTCGGACTGTAAAAAGAGATGTTAGTGGCAAAACTGATAAAATCAAATAAAGCATGTAGGTTAGTTAATAGTAGTATTCTACCAGTGTTAATGTCTTAGTGTTTATAATTGTACCATAACTATGTAAGGTAATAACATTAGGGGAAGCTGACTGAGTACATGGGAACTCTGTGCTATTTTTGTAACTATCTATAAATGAATTCTATTTTCATTTTGCCCAATAAACTTTATATGTATACACACACACAAATAGAGAAACATTATATATATATATGGGGAAAATGTAAGATGAGCCTAGAACATTTTGTGGTGCCAGACAGTGAGGAAGAGCTGAAAGGACGACATACACATGAGAGAGAAAGAAAGACAGAGAGAATTGTAAAAATCACAGAGAAAATTTTGAATTTATAACAACAGTTACCAACAGGCTAAAACTTGAAAGCAAGAAGAAACTATAACTATTTGCTCCAATATTGCAGTGGTTCCTTAGCTGAAGGGTTAGCTGATATCTACCCTACTGACAGCAACTTGTCTCTCACAGAACTGGCAAGAAGAGGCCTTTTTCATCTCCCTCCCCATTAAGCAACAAAACAATAATAGCAGCAATGACAAATTGACGTCGCCCCAACTATGCAAAAGGCCCAATGTAACATGCTTTACAGATGTTTTCTCATTTAAACTTTTTGGGGAATCCTCATTCAAGTGTCTCAATTTCCTTTTGGTTCCAATCAAGGGATTTTTGCCTGATTTTTAGCAGTTTCTTCGCCGTATCAAATGTTTTTTTAATCCTTACCTTAGTGCTGTCAAAGTATGTTCTACAGTAAGCCCCCCACCAACACCCTAAAAATGGCTGCATAGTAAACTAGGATTGGAAATAACAGGTTTCTTTCCTGTTAAGGCTCCTCGGAGCTTTTACTATGCTGCTGTGTAGAGTAAATCACAGAGAGAAGATGAATGTGGAATACTTCCAAACTTAAAACTTGACCATAGAATATGTTTTCAATGACACTTCTTAAGACTTTCTTGGAACGTACTTTGAGGAGCAATGTTCTATTTTTAGTGCTAACTTAATAATTATTCTATGTGACCACTTTTATTTAAAGTGGTGTTCATTTAAATAGGGTATCAGAAAGTTAATTCTTAATGGTTCATGCAAAGTGACAGGAGTTGAAGGCAAATGAGATCGCGTTGAGCCATGTTATGGAATTTGCACTTTCCCCTCAGTGCCATGGAGCCCCTGGAGGATTTGAAGCAGGAATCAGACTTGCACTTTAGAAGGATTGCTCCACAGGAATTACCTAAGAAACTTCCACCAAGATTTAGGTCCAGGAACATCTGTGTCCCTGAGGCCTCCCTGTCCCATCAGTCTGCCCTCCCACTGAGTCCCTTCCTTCAGAATGCTGCACGTATGGACGCTTTCGCTGACGGAGGACATCAATGACCTCCCCTCAGTGCTGCAGGGCTTGCTCTACCTCACGGCTGTGGCCATACATCCCCCCTTGGACACTCAGCCTCCTGCCCTCATGCCTTTCTCCTCGCCCTTGCCTGTTAGGTCCAATTCTGACTTCAGGCCCCAGTTCAACAGCCCCTGCCCAACTCTGCGCCAATTCATTCTTGTTGATTTTTTGCTCTTCTTTAATAAGCAGGCTTCTGTCTTCGTTTCTTATAACCTTGTATTCTCCTGGTTAACCCCACCTGAGACTAGATCCTTAATATCCTCTTTCTACGCTAGGACCACAGCCTTGCAATTCAGCTTCTCTAGTTGTCACTGAGCAATTAGACTTTTTTATCTCCAACACGAGCTCTGCTATCTGTTGGGGTAAATTATTATAAACTTCTCTTGTTAACAACTTTCCCAGACACATCAACCCTCTTAAAAATTCAAAGGGCGTGTATATGGGTGGGGGTGATAGTAAAAGACTATACCTACACAACACATAAGGCTGAGGCTGTTCTCTTTAGCACCTGTTCTAGCCAATAGATGGGTATAATTCCAGGTCCCAGTCCCTTCCAGTAAGCTCTGTACTTGTCATAAGAAGCCAAGCCATGTTCAGTGAGTTCAGGGAAGTGATGAGTACAATTTATTCTAACTATTCTCTGATGATAACATGGCCCCGAGAACTGATCCTTCACTGACATCTAATCTTATGCTGCATGCCTTAAAACAACCACCTTTTGCTTATCTCTTAATAATCCTTTAAGACTTTCCTTCCTTCATCTAGATTAAAAAGATTTATAAACCTTTCCATTTTTCTACTTGTAGAAACTAAACAGTGTTGGGCCTGTCTTGTAGTATTAATAATTTATTGAGTATGGAACTGTGTAACCCCAAAAGGTAAATGTATATACTTTTTGCTTACCCTTAGGTAATCCTGGGTTGTATTCCCAAAATGAAAATTTTCCTGGAGTGTAATAGTGTAAACAAACACAAAGATGCTTATCTAGCTTCCCAAAGATACTTCAGTCCTCTTGTTAAAAAAAAACACGGCTTTCAGAAAATGACTGCCCATATCTTGAGAAAAGGTTGCTGCCTCTTTTCTTAACCACCTGTCTGTCAAAGTCATGCTGATATTAGCATGACTTTGGGGTAGGCTGATCATGCTGATCTCAATTAACAGCACAGAGAAGCCTCAGAGTTGCCTGGGAAATAGAAGACTATATTACAATCTGATTGATTCCAAGTATACTAACAGAGAATTTCTGATAGAACTAAAGGTTGAGATAAATTTTGTCTATATTATTTGTGATGAAAATACTAATACAATACCTATTTAAAAGCCTCAGAAAAAAATACTTAAGTATGAATTATTTGTATTTAAAAATAATTACAAATTCTAATATTAGCTTTAAGGGTTTATTAAAACAAATTCATTAAGCATTAAATCACACAATGCTCTGTTGTCCTGGTTTATTAATTATATACACTTAAATGAATTAAAACTGAGCATTTATAAAATATTCTATCACTTAGATTTAGATTGCTCTTGGCAAACAATGCTGAATTGTGAGGTCATACTGTATATATTGGGTCAATTATGTTATAACTTCTCAGATCTTACTTCATTTTGGCATTTAAATAAATGAATTAGGTCAGCATGCTACTTTATATGTTAGCATTTCATTGATATTACAATGTTAATTTTTCAAGATCATACTTTCCCACAGTTAAGAAAAGTTTTATACCAATAACAAAAATAATAATGAACTCTGCTGAGCCTTTACCAAGTGACAGACACTGTGCTTAATAATTTACATGAGCTGTCACATTTAAACATCACAATATTCCTATGATGTAGATCAAGTGTCGGCCCAGTTTAACAGATGAGGGGATGGAGAAGCAGAGAGCCAGGCAAGCCGAATGAGGCCATGCAAACAGCAAGTGGCAGAGCTGGGATTCGAACCCAGGCAGCCTGACTACTGTCCTGCTACTAATATGAAGTTGATTGTACTTTGCTCTGACTTTTTACTTTTGATTCTTTCTTTGCACATAATTTTAGAAGATGGATTTTTATTTGCATTTTGTACTTTGAATTCTGCCTTGATTAAACTGATACTTAATAGGGATTGACAGGAATTGAGGAGTGTGGAATGGTGTTAGGAAGAAAGGGAATTGAGCAGCAGTTAAAAACCACAAATGTTATATGCTGAAGAAAAGGTAAGCAGGAGATTAACTTTATGCATATTTCCAAATATTTGTGTGTGCTTTTCAAAATCCCCTCGCAAAACTCAGAGGTTCACAGAGGGAAAGAGTTCAGTGGTAATTCTCACAAACCTTTGTTTTCATGGGCTTAAAATGTTTTCAGAATCAACCCCAGTTAGTTTCTGTCTTTCAGCATGGTAAGAATTTGGCATGCTGCTCCTTTCCTCCTGAGAGAGAAATCCGAATGCTTGCCAGAGCACTTAATATTCTAGCTTCCACAGCAAATTGCTTTCATCTCCTCCTGCCTCCAAACTGACTTCAGATTTGGGCAAAAGAGAGAAAGGCACTGAAGAAAAGAAGCGAAGGGGTGAATGTTGCTTTTTTTTCCCCCACTGAGATAAACAAGACATGCTTATAATTATGTGACACAATTTTTTTAGTATAATTCTCACTGTCAACCCTAGAAAGCTCCCTAGTTGTCCTCCCTCCCACAGTAGCATCGAATACCAGGCCCGCATTACAGTGTAAACGAAGGACTAAATGACTGGCTTTAACTCATGGACAATTTTGAGTTTTATTTCATTAGCCAACTTCCCCCAACCCCTTTAAAAGAGGATAGGAAATGGAGAAAATTATAACCTAATTGTCCATATAT